AAGGAAATTGACAAAGCACATCTACAAATATTGGACAGCCATATATGAACAGAGTTTTGCCATTTTTACTCCATTAATTGCATTTTTGAGGCTTCAAAATAAATGCTGGTAAACTAAAAGGGACAGTGTGGGAGACAAGATGGGTTGTGTTCACTGTCCACTTCCTTAACATTCACAGGTTTTTCTTTGTCAGAGATAAGGATTACTGATGATCACATTTCTTGCCCCAGTATTTTTTATACTGATCACAGAAGTCAGTGCTTTTAAGACAATGATAATTCCTTCCTAACAGGACATGTAGACAATACATGTCTACACAGAAAGAAGTTCCACTCAGTTCCATGGAATTACTCCCAGGTAAGTGGGTACAGGATTGCAGCCTCAAATATTTTGAACAGGAAGAGCTAATAAATTATTTGTTTCTGAAGTTTTACAACAAATCTGGAATCAACATCTGAGCAATACAATTAATTTAATCTACAGGTTAGGCATCTCAATAAGTAACACTGAAACATATTAATAGATTAGATATAATGATCTACTAAAATTACATTTTAGTTTGCCTAATCTGATTAGAAATTGTGGGTTACATTTATGAGAGATTTAACTGATAGCCAAAAAAAATCTATTTGGGCATCATCTTGCTCCAATAGAAATCAACATCAAAAGCTGCCAGAGATATTAATAGAGCAGGATTGCAACCTTAATCATGTAATTCTGAAACTACTTCCATATTAATAATTTTCTAACAGCAAGTAATCAGCAATTTACATTAATTCACACACTAATGCTTCAGTTATGGAAATACAGACTATGTGTTTTACTGATCATGTAAGTAATTGTTGATCCTGCTATTTTATTGTTTGTTTTATCGTGTGCCTTCATCTGGATCAGAACCACAGCATTGCAGGAGGGAAGCATGACATTTTTCTCCCCATCTCTTTTTTCTTGAAAATCCTTCCCCTGCACCCACACCCACACCCCCCACTGTGGTGTTAAGAAAAGATCAGTGGATCTTTCTTTTAAACGCCTCCCTGAAGGTGGCATAGAATTTCAGGGAAAGAACAGGACAAAAGAAAGATTTAGTACTTTCCTCCCTGAGTGGCTTGGTTGCAATCCCAGATCAAGAACACACACTAAAGAAAAGTAGAAGATTGGGAGAACATGTAGTTCAGTGATGACCGCAACATTCTAGGCATTATATAGGTACTCAATGAGTAAATATCTTAGTGTGGAAGCACATACTGTCAAAAGATGAACTGAAAAGACGATGGGAGATGAGATGAGAGGGAAAGAAAGTGCAACAAAAATGTTGCTCAGTAAGGAAACAGTCACAGGCTGGAGAGGACGGGTGGTGACAGAGAGGCACTAGGAGCATGTCAGGGAGCATAGATCTGACTCACCTTTTAGCATTTTCACAGCAACCTTTTGGAGAGAGCCATCAGGCATTTTCAGCTGACCCTCTCTTACAGACCCAAACTCCCCTAATAAATTACAAAAGAAGACAAGGTCAAATACGATGCAAGTGAGTTTGGATCCCAGGGACCCTGAAGACTGGAGCTGCTGAAGAGCTACATAGATTAAAACTACTAAATGATGGTATCAGTCAGTGAAAGGATTTCTTTCATGGAAACACCTTTTGGAATTATTTCAAAGCAGGGAAACAGACAACAGCACACTGGAATTGAAAATCTACAAGGAAAATATTTTCTTCTGGGAAATATACAGGAGCTGAAACTGGCAAGAACTTAAGACATAATGCTGCCAAAGTTAAGCCAGTGAGACTTAAAAAGAGACTTAAAGGTGCTAAACTTGGATCACATTGTACTTATAAATCTTCAGCAAAGCATGATTTACAGTACAGATGCTGGATCAGCAGGGATGTTAACGGGAATCTTTGGCAAATAGCTTCTTAATGCCGTTTTCATCCTCTTAATGCCTATCTGATTCTAGCCCAGCTCTTCCTACTCTTTCCTCTCCCTAATAGCACCTCATTCATTCATTCATTTAAAGTTTTTATATGCCGTCCCCACTGCTACACAGCCTCGGGACGGCTCACAACACAAATAAATAAAACAAACAGAATTACAAATTACAATTGAAACTTGGAAACACACTGGCTGCATAATTAAAACTATAAATATTACAGATGATTAAAATACTGTTTGAATAAAAGGTCTTAGCCTGGTGCCGAAAAACAAATAACGACGGCGCCAGGCGGACCTCTCTGGGAAGTGCATTCCACAGATGGGGTGCCACCGCAGAGAAGGCCCTCCTCCGTGTACTTTGCTTCCTGATATCTCTTATGGAAGGCTCCCGGAGGAGAGCCCCTGCTGCCGATCTCAAGGGGTGGGAGGGCAAATATGGCCGCAGGTGTTCCTTCAAGTATCTGGGTCCCAAGCCGTTAAGGGTTTTATAAGTAATTACCAACACCTTGAATTGAACCCGGACTTCGATGGGAAGCCAGTGAAGCTGGTAGAGGACTGGGGTCATGAGAATAATGCCCAGTCCTCGTCAGCAACCTTGCTGCTCTATTTTGCACCATCTGAAGTATCCGGATTGTCTTCAAGGGTAGCCCCATGTAGAGCACATTACAGAAATCCAACCAGGAAGTAACCAACGCATGCATCACTGTCGCTAGGCAGTCGTCCTCCAGGTAGGGACGCAGCTGATGGATCCGCTGAAGCTGATGGAAAGCGCTCCTCGCCACCGCTGACACTTCAGCTTCCAAAGTCAGCTCTGGGTTGAGGAGCACTCCCAAGCTGCGGACCCTGTCCTTTAGAGGGAGTGCAACCCCATTCAGGACAAGATCCAAGTCACCTACCCAGGAGTTCGAACCACCTACCAGCAGGACCTCCGTCTTGTCTGGATTGAGCTTCAGTTTATTGGCCCTCATCCAGCCCATTACCTCAGCCAGGCACCGGTTCAGTACAGCTACTGCCTCACCTGAATTGGTTGAAAAGAGAGGTAGAGTTGGGTATCATCAGAGTACTGATGATTCCGCAGCCCACACCTCTGAATGACCTCTCCCAGCTGTTTCATGTAGATGTTAAAGAGCAAGGGGGACAGAATAGACCCCTGCGGAACTCCATGACGTAACTGCCATGGTGCAGAGGTAAAGTCCCCCAGCACCACCTTCTGGAATCGGCCGTCGAGGTAGGAGCGGAACCACTGCCAAGCAGTGCCTCCTACTCCCAGCTCCCTTAGCTTATCCAGAAGGATACCATGGTCGATGGTATCGAAAGCCACTGAGAGGTCCAGGAGAACCAACAGGGATGCACTCCCCCTCTCTCTCTCCCTGCACAGGTCATCATACAGGGCAACCAAGGCAAATTCAGTACCATACCCGGGTCTGAAGCTGGACTGAAATGGGTCCAGATAATCAGTCTCATTCCTTGCTTAACTCTGTTCATTTACTTCTTTCATATATTTTGCAATGTGTCCTCCATTTCCACATTCACACTACTGAAAATATGCCATTTTTCCTACTTTTTCCTTAGCGAAGTCTCTTCCCTTCCTCACTGCTTCAGCAGTGCCCAGGAGAACCACATTTTGGCATATTTGACTCAGGACACCTCAGGCTATCAGCTACAGCTATACTGCTATATCAGCTATATCAGCTACAGCTATATCAGCTATACTGCCCCTACAAAAAAGCCCCCAAGAACAAATCAATATACAGAATAATTAAGACCAAGTTAAATTCCAGCTTCTAGCCACATTTGGATTCACTGCAATAATGATTATTGTAGACTAGCAGCCCAGACCCAAAGTGGATGCCTGAACTCTTTCAAGTGAATGGACTTTGACACACCTAACCACCTAGAATCTGTCTGCAGGCTCTAGTTAGATCAAATGCACTTTTGTCTAGGTTTTGGTACATACTCACCCTTGCCTAGCATTCTTCCCAGAGTAAACTGCTGCTCCTGGATTAGGACATCCTTCAGTTTGGTCTTCAGTTCATCACTGATTCCTAGGCTGTCCACTGTAGAAACAGGAGATAGATAAAACAGGGACTTGACAAAGAATCTTAATAAACCTAGTTCTCATCACAGAAACTCTAAAAACACAGGTATTTGATCTTAGTCATACCTAGTGATGAATCTGATAGACAGTATGAAACATGTACATCTGTATTCCAAACATTACTACTCAGAAGTAATTTCATGGGGAATTACTGCATAAGAATTGCTGCCTAATAAATGCTTTTTCCTGCCTTATAAAAGATGATAAACACAAAAATTGAAAGGTAGAATCCTATTATTGCATCCTTGCTGATCAGAAGCCTTCAAACTTGGAGGCCTCCAAGTTTCCTATAGCTTCCTATGCTGAAGCCAGAGGGCACAAGCTGCAGAGGTAGTCTTCACTATCCTGCTCTCCATCTTGATACATGTTATATGTGCTTTTTAACCCATACAGCAAGGGAGCTTTGGAGGGAGAAGACAGGAGGGTCATGGCATCTCACAACATACCACTGGTCTCCTCCCCTCCCCACCCACTGGAACACCCCTTTTGTCTTCCTCCAAGGTTGCTGTTCCAATTGTTCCAAGCTGGCACAATTTGCTCCACAGCAGGTATGAAGAGAGGCATCCGGTGCTAGACCTCCAAATCTCCCTTCTGAGCCTAGAGCACTGTCTCGGATCTCAAAAGGGTTTCCTGAGCTGCCCTGCAGCTCTCACCTAGGGACCTTACGATTGAGCTCTGTCTACCTTTGTCAATGCTAAAGTTTTAGAATTTAAAATGCTGCAAGAGCTTTCTTTTAATCAACTGAAAGAAAGGAAACTGATGTTGGTTGCAGCAATACAAATGAATTGGGCTATCTGGCCATTTGCAAGTCAATCCACAGAAGTTGAATCAGGGCATCCCGAGCGCTTGTTGGAAGGACGGGATACAAATGTTTGCAATAAAATAAATAATAATAATATTTGGATATCAGAGAATTTAGAATAATTTACTAGCTGGCCTTTTATTTGAGACAGTATAACTGTGGCTCGATTGGGAAGTATCCAAGCAAACACTAGCACTGATGTTCATCACCATTAGTGCAATGGCAGTAGCATTACCTGATGCAGCTGGTTTCCCCAGACATTTTGTCACACAAGCTAAGAGTACTGATGTTGCATGAGAAGTAGGTTGCACTAGCACAACAATCTACATTAGCAGTAATGTTGACTTGGATGCTGCCATTATTTTATGAGTTTAAAAATCATACCCCACTTCTGTATCAAAAAGTGGTCTGCAGGAAGCTTAAGGATACCTTTAATATTTGTACTTCATTTTCAAAAGACAAAAATCAAAACTGCTAATATATCTTGGAGCACTTTGCTATCTTGCTGTCAAAACAAGATTCATTCAAGGGGGCAGAAGAAACAATTCTGGATTCTGTCTATAGCATCACAGTGGATTTCCAAGCTACAGCTAAGGCATAACTTGTGGACACGGCTTTTATCAACACATGCCTGTGATATTATTTTGTCCCTTTTTGTTGTGTTTATATTAGAAATCTTAAGTGTTCAACAGAAAGAATTAGACAATTGTGGGGAAAGGAGTGGGGTGAAAGACCATACTTTGAGTTGATCAACTTGGAAACTCACTTGACAAAAGGAATCTGTAAGAAAAAATCATTGAGAACATTTTACCTACATGTTGCCTCAATAAGCTCTGGAACTTCTCTGTTGAAAGATCTCACTGCTCTGAAATGGACTACTGGATCCCCTCCCACCATGTTGTCAAAGGCATGACTAGAAGGTTAAAAAAAGAAGGGAAAAAATCTCATTAATGGAACATTAATGTGTTGCTGCAAACTGCCCAGAGTGTTTTGGATATGTCGTGGTACAGAAATTAAACAAACAAACGTGCAGGAAGAACTACAAAGATACAGTACATTAACTTAATACAGACAGCAGCACAGAGCCTCCTTTAATGGGTGATTATTTGTGAGCTGTGCAAAAGATCTGATGTCCCCAGAGCAGGCCTTTCCTATCTCATATTTCTCAAAGGCCTCAGGAGCGGAAGGGTGCAGTTACAGTGTCCTGGAGTTGCTCAAGTGCCCCAGTTGCTGCTTTTCTGTGGCTATGCCCCCAAAACAGCTCACCCTCCCACTGTTCTTCCCACTCCTGTCTCCAATGAGAAACTGTTCTGTTCAGGAAAGAAGCTGCTATCTAGAGTGCTGCTTCTTCCATTGCTCAGCCTCCTTGCTCTGCAAATGCATTCTCCCTCAAGCTTATTCACACTGTGAATATCAGGCAATTCCTTCAATACTAGATTGCTACATTATTATTGGCAACTCTGGGTAATATCCTGTTGGCTCCAGGCACTTGCAGGATACACTGCTCACTGCTTGTGCAAATATGGGTTTTATGCTTCTAAAGTTAACCCAAAACAAGTGAAAATGGGTGTGCAGAATGGGTGGGTCAGCTGGGCATGTACAAGGCAGCTCTGCTAACCTGTCCCGATCTGGAAATTAGTATTTCTGTTCCCTTCCAAGGTTATTTTTAGAAGCACAAAAGCACTGGCACACATGTGGAGGCTCTCGCAAGTGCAACTAAACCAGCGGAGATGGAGCAGCCTGTTGGCTCCTACCCCATCATATAATGAGGTTGTATTAATGCACTCATATAAGAGATATTGATGATGATAAAAAAACAACAACAAGGCTTTTACCCAAAACGAGTTTCTTTCCTTCTTTTCCGGAGGAGGATTAGTGCCAAGGCAACTGCTGTGACCAGTGCAGTAAGAATTCCTAACACCACAGGAACCCAGGATGTCCCATAGCGAGGTTGTCTCTGTCCTCCTGTGTAGAAGAAAACACTTCAGTGAAAAAGCATTTCAGTGCATTTAGCAAAAATGTGCTCAGCAATCTCAGGATAAGACATTATCTGCCATGAAAGGGCTCCAGCATGAGGAGGAAATCTACTAGTTGTGTTGCAAACAAACCTGAAAAGCTGTAGTGGCAACAGAGCTTAATCTATCATGAAGGCACCTCCAGCATCTAGCATCATCCACCAATTACCTCCAAAGCATTGCCTAATACCAATTCTGGGAATTGTTATGGGATGTTTTCTGAACAAAGGAAGCTCATAATTCAAAGCTTCATCTGGAATGGGATGTTGAGTTGATTTTATTCTTGTGCTATGCTGATTGGGTGGGTAATGTTGCCACAGAATATGGTAGATGCAAAATTAGATAGGAGAGCACATGGATGAGCAGAGTTCAGAAGTGAGAGATCTGCTTTGCTTTACAAGAACCTAAAGGTTTGATAACCAAAGACAAATGCAAAATGGTGCTTGAGGTGGGCTTAGAAGGCGCAGGCTAGTGCCCTCCATATATGTTGGACTTCAACTCCCATAATTCCTAGCTTTTATGGACATTGCTGTTTAGGAATTATGGTACTTGCAGTCCACTACATCTGAGGGCAGCAGATTGGGGAAGGATCAGACCCAAAGCTCAGCTCATAGCCATTTCTGATAAAATATGTGTTCCTGGTTTCCCCCAAGGTATTCATTAGAACAGTCTAATTGGCCTTTCACTTTTGATGATGATAAACCACTGGTAGTCAAAAATTCTTGCCAATCTGTGGCAGCACAAGTAGTTAATCTCCTGTTACCTTCCACCCACTGCCCATGTAGTGTTACAGCTGAACTGACATTACACACACTGCAGAAATATGGATGTGCAGTGTCAGGATAAGGGGTAACAAGACAGCTTCAGCTATTGGAAGTTAAATAAAATGAGTGAATTTGGTGTTGCTGCAGAGTGACAGGGCTTATCTGGAATCCTATATTCGCTTAGAGATCAGTCTCTGCTGCACTGACAGCCTAATGTTATGTCAGCAAAAGAGGTGGTGAAAGATAACTTGTTTCCATTAGTTCAGGTCTACTAGACCACAGCTTATCAGCAGATGGCCAACCCAGCAGCCAGTCATGGAAAACCACCTCTTGTATGGTTACATAAGGAAGGGCATACAGCTCATTATAGCAAGACACACAGCATGGGCCACATCACTCTGCTCCCATTCTTGGAGAAGCAAGAGTACACAGAGGGGGAAGTCTAGTGAGGGTGCTCTTTGCTTGGACAACAAAAAGAACATCCAAGTAGGAAAAGCATATTGGTGAAAGTCAATTTCATAGAACACTTACAGACTCTACCTTGGGGTTCCAGATAGAAGCACGCCACCTGAATTTCCATTATGAGGACAAAGTATCCTACAGTGCCAAAGCTGGATGGGGAGCTCTTATCCCAAAGTATGATTTCTGCACTTCATCCACTGTCCCCTGGGCATCTCAGTTAAAAAGGCAGATATGCAGAGTGCTCAAACACCAGTGCTCCCCAACACGTATACATACAACATGGGGAAGCTGAAGAAAACAAGTATGCAGTCAAGCAGAAGACATGGGGACAGAAGGCTTAGATGCCCAGCAGACAATCAGCTCACTGAAGATGGGTGTGATGTGCCTCAGTGGGATGAAGGGGTGGGCAAAAGGAAGGGCATTCTTGGCTATGAATGAAGCAGATGGGAAGCATTGCTCTTTACCTCAGTCATTCTGATCTACTCTGTCACTGCACTGCCTCAAGTGTGCATAACTTTTCTCAGCCTTTTTCTTCTTCTCTTTCTACCCCTTGGACTGCTTATAACTACATTTACACAAACATTTTTAAGGAGTTTGCAATGTTCTGTGAAAATTGCTGTCAAGTAGTCACTATTGACTTCTGTCAATCCCAGCAAAAAACTACAGCAGCCTTTAGAAATGCTCTGTAGCAGTCCCTTCTGAAAAGAACAAGAAGCTCTGTTGCAAAAGCTATCAGTGTGCACTCTGTTCAGGGCAGAGCCAATTGCCTAGCTTGTGTTAGCAAAATTGGAAGGAACAGAGGACTCATTGCATGTATGGGATGCCTTTTGCTTGTGAAACCGAGCCCATAGTATTATATGGATATTTTGGACCACTATAATATTACAATCTCTTACTCATTTTTTCCGTTCTTTTACCCTAAAGCTGTGCAAAATAATTTATCCTCAGCGGACTCCTAAACATCATCATAAAGAAACAAAACTAAATAATGAAGGCCCAATCTTTGGCCAAGTTATAAGCATTCCAATTTATAAAAGTCCTAGACATATGGGAGATAGGGAAAAACTGAGCAAAGCTTGTTCATAATTAATCCATTTTGCCCATGTGGACAATTATCTTTGTGGCCTGTTATCTTATATAGATCATCCAAGCAGATTTCTCTGATGTATGAATTCATGTCCCTGTGCTTGTCAGATGTCTGTACCTCTAATTTTGCTTCAAACTGTGTTTCCCCTTTTCACAGTCACTTTCACAAAAGAGATTACTTTTTAACAATGGTATTTTGTACATCTACATGTTGATATCACAGTGTCATGTTATGTACATATGAATTCTACCAATTTTGTGTGCTCTGAAATAGTACATCTAGCATTTTTCAGTGAGTGACAAATCAGCCATATTTCTACATAAAGTATTTTAGGAGTCCCCATACAGAAGTCTTTCATGATTTTATCGCAATCAATTTCATTGCAATATTCTTCAATATTAAAATTCTTGTTTCCTGCATTCCATAACACTTTAAATCCCGAGCTGCAAGTTGCATGTGCCTAGGTTTAAAAATAAGGGAAGGATGCCTGAATTCCAGAGAAAAGCTTAGTACCAGTGGTGCCCCTGAGGGCTGGAGCATATGCTACCTCTCCCATTCACCTTGCCACCATCCATTTGGGCAGGTCACTGCATTGAGCAAAGTCAAGGGAGGGGTCACGTAGGGTGACTGCCCAGGCACTAAAAGCCCCCTGAAGGTGGGAATGGTGGCACTGTAGTGGCAGCAGCATTCTGGCTGTTGCTTCTCCTCCTCCTAGGAGTGCCACATTTGCACACCCCTCTGCTTCTGAAAAGATGAAATGTCCCCCTCCTCTGGCTCTTCAGTGTTGCCGGCTGATTCGCACTTCTGAAGCGTTCCCAGAACCAGTGCTGGTCTGCTGGGTGCTCCAGCAAACCACACTGGCTGCTCTCCTCTTGCAGCAAATGCTGCAGCAACCTGCATGTGAGGGAGGGAGGCAGTGGCACTGTGCTGCCCAGAAGAAAAGAGAAGATGACGAAGAGGAGGGCAGTGGCAGCTATGGAAGTTGTTGTGGAGAAAAAAGAGTGTTGCAGCCTCTCCACCAGGACAGCAAAATACTACCTTGCTTGAGGGTTCCAAAGTATCTGGAGAAAGGCCTGGTGAGTATCTCTGAAACACCTTAGTGGATGTTTCAGAGGACACGGGGGCTCACAGTTTGACGTCTCTGTGGCAAATATAACACATGCTCTGGTCTCTGTGGAAATCACAGCAATTGGGAGCAGAGAAAAGCAGCTCACCAGTGGGGGTAAGTGAAAAGAATAGCACTTCCAACATGCTGGGCCATCACTAATTAGAAGGCATTTCCCTGGTGTGATAGGACACAACTGAAGTGAAGCCAAGTTGGTGCAGAAGTGTCAGACTGGTACCCAGGAGAACTGGGTTCTAGTCTTCACACAGCCATGAAGCTCACTGGGTGACTTGGAGCCAGTCGCTCACTCTCAGCCTAACCTACCACATGGGGTTGTTGTGTGGATAAAATGGAGAGGAGGAGGATCTTCTTAGTTCCTTGAGCAGAGGACAGCATGATGTGTGTGTAAAAATGAATAAAAGAAAATGAAACAAATGCTACTACAGCAGTAGTGATAACAGGAGTAATAATGTTTAAGATCCTTGCAGAAAGAGCAGGGCACATAGTTCTTGCAGGCTAAGGTGGCACCAATAAAGCTGCAAGAAATTCCCCTGGACAACACCATTAAAGCTTTTTATAACTTCTCCACCCATACACTGGGAGACACAAACAAGCTGCCCCAGATACTTTACACGCAGAGGGAACATAGAAAATGCCTATTCAGTTCAAGCCAGTTATTTCTAGAAAGTAAGCAATTTTTATTTTCCAGCAGGCTCAGGCCTAGAACAGTTTCATTAGTTTTACAGATCTAGTTCTGTTCCGTCAGCATTTCCATAATGACACTTTATTTTCAAGCATTTATAGGCACAACTGGGTACTATCTTGGGTGTGGCTGCTTTGGGCTCAGCAAGCCTCAGGCTAAGAGAGTGTGAAAGAGTGAGAGCAAGCGTGTGGGTGTGTTTTCTAAGAGCTGCACCTGGAACAAAACCAAACCATTTAACCTTCACAGATTACAGAATTCCTGCATGCAAAGCACTTCCGTATAGGAATGCACATGACTTTACATGGCATACAGACTCACAGTCCAAAGATCACCACTGAAAGAGGCAATACAATATTCAGCCCAGTGCATACAGGCATTAAAAGAACCCTCATGGAAACACGTGATGACAGCAGATTACAAACAAAAACAAAATTCAGCACATGCTTGGAAGTTGTTACTGGCTGTGACATGTATACTTTGGCTGGGTTTGCACATCACAAGAAGCCATAATAGTGTAATCCGGACCCAATCATGGTGTTTCTTTGTGGTATTTGATTTCCCAAAACCACAGAGAGAATCATTGGTTTGTCCCAAGGTGGCTTGTCTGGTTGTCCGAACTGGGGAGCTCCATTTTACCACTTTTGGCATGGAAACACCATGGAGTTCTGTGGGAAGAGCAGCTGCATCAGTGGCTGCTCAGCCATCTGTTCTCTAGTACCCTCTGCTCCCTAGCAACATATCTCTCATCACCTGCTTTATTCCTACTGACCAAGTGACATGCTCATCTCCCTGTTTACTTTTGGAAGTGGGTCCATGCACAGAGGGACAAGGGGAAAATCTCAGCAAAGGTGATTATTGTTTTTGAAGAAACATTCCTTTGGGGTCTGGAGTGGTTAGGAAGCATTGCAGAGATGTAGGTAAACTCAGGGGAGAGAACTCATCTCAAAACCTCATTTTTGAGGTAACTGATTTCCAGAGGAAACAATAGCACAAGGAAGGAGATTTCACTTGTTGGGGCTGCCAGCATGCATGGCTAAGTGGGAGGATGGACTGGGGAACACAGAAACCATATTGCTGTAGAAACCACATGATTGTCTGATCTAAGTTCAGGCAAAGATCCAACATGCCATGGAAACCACATGGGGTTGTTTGCTGTGATGTGTGAACCCAGCTATTGCGCAAATTCAACAAAATAATGCACATGAAGGATTGTTACATGCGTTATGTGTTTAATATTAATTTTGAATTCATGACTGCCCTGTACAGCTTTTTCCCCACTGTAGCTTCCCAGAAGCAAAATAGTTAAATTTGGGATTGCCAAGTTACTATCTTCAGATGGATTTCACGTTGATACCTGTGCAAATGTGTTTTCCTAACATGATGATGTGCTGCATCTAATGCCAGTGAAGATAGTGAAATGGATGTTCTTTCATTTAAGATACTGCCTAAATATACTAGATAGATGGGAGCCTCTGGCACAGGGGTCATATCCAGCCCTCTGAGGTTCCCCAGATGGCCATGATGTTCCCAGATGACTTATCTTGGTCCCATTCGCCTCCTCCAACTACTGTTTGTTGGGTGGTCTCTTGGCTTTTGTGCCCCCTTATTTTAAAAGGCTGAAACGCCTTTCCAAAGATTTAGTTGCCAGCAAAAAGAGCTTTAAGCAAGCAGCTTGTTCACTTTGTGAAAAGGAAAGCTATATTCTCAATTCAGAAACTTTAGTGTGCTCTGGCTGTACCTAAACAGTGTTCTAAAAATGGAGTTAATTTATGCAATTCTGGCTGGCTGCAGATTTTCTTTATTGTGCAATTTTGAGGGAGTTTGTGTCCATGTGCTAGTGAGTCATTTGGAGAAAACATGGACATGATGGCAACACTGATGGAAATAAGTGAGGAGGAACTGGAAAACTGAAACTGCACTTGCTTTTGTTTGGGAAGGGGGCTGTTCTTCCCCACCTTTCTTATTTACTTTGCACAAGCCTTCCCCAGTCTGGTACCCTCCTAGTGTGCTGGATTACAACTCCCAGCAGGCCAGGATCTACACTCTACAGTTCCCAGCAGGATTCTTCATCCAATCTGTGAAAAATATTGCATATTGGCAAACTATTACACCCCTTTCTGAAAACCTTTCTCAGATGGATGAAACATAATATTTTTAGGAATCTGATTCCAGGCTAATATACAGCATGTTACACCAAAAGATATTTTACACCATTATATATATATTAAAAAAAACCAACCCAAAACTGCAGCACCACTAAACACGGGCAGGGAGACCCCATTTCATGTCTTTCCCTCCTCTTTTCCAGGTCCAATTCACAGCAGTGTCCCTTGCAAAAAAGGAAAGATGTCATAGTTGCAACTGAGGGGTTTTGTTTTTGCTTCTGCTAGATTGGTTGATGGTGTTTGGCTTTAGTCTCCTTCAGTGAAAACATACAACGCACACAGCTGTGTGCACTGGAAAAAGCTTGGCCAGAAAGATACAATGGTACCAGCAGCTCTCACTGTTCCTCATCTCATGTACAGTGCTAACAACAGACCATTTTCCTCAAACAAAAACACAGTTTAAAAAGGTCCCTGCATATGACACTCACCTATTAGATCTTGTGCTGTAACCAGTAAAGGCTCGCTCCAAGGTCCACAGCCAGCTGAGCTGAGTATACACACCCTGATTATAAGGTCTTTTAAGGGATTCCACATAGTAAGGTTGGCACTTGCCTCCTGCACTATCATCTCCCCCTGAAATCAGAAAACCATAAATGGTTATCAGCATTCAAATGACAGTTCCTTGCTTTACTTTGGGATGAAGAAAGAATTCTCTTTCATGCTAGACTGAATGAACATGTTAGACCACACTTCCCATCATCCCCAGAAGGCATGGCCACTGGCCATGTTGGCCCAGGATGATGAAAGTGCTAGACAAACACATCCAGAGGCCACCTAGTTAGAGACAACTGGTCTAACCATCCTTGGGCTTGTGTTTAGCCTTTTCCTATAGCCTATTTATTGCTTGCTTGCATCATATTAATCTACCTGTTCCTCGGGCTTTTTCTGCACTGCAGCTGCTCTCTTGCATGTGCCCTACCGAAGGCTGCAGTGCAAGGGCTGATCTGTGGCCACCTGGGGTGTAGATTGTTCTATCCTACCACAGCTGGCCTTTTGATCCTGCCCAATTTCATTAATTTCAGTTTCATGGGAACAACTGTTCAGCTTTCATTCAAGGAAACTCTTTTGTTTGAGGGCTGGAACCCAAGAGTGGAGCATGGTCATCTTTGTTTATGTGCTGATTATGTTACTTGGGACTCTTTTTTAAACTTGGTGCAGAAAGGAGGGACTATTTATTGTGCACCTGAGTTGGGTTCCTGATACTTCTTAGAATCTGCATAGACATGTGAACACTGCACTGACAATTATACAAGAACTGGGACTCTTTTACAGATGGATTTATTTTTATTTATTCAGTTAAGGGGCTTATATCAGGTGAGAAAAATGTGGTCCATGAGCTGCATGCATTGCTCACTGCTCCCAGTGGGATCCCCTCTGCCACTGATTACCTGTTAGATGTCAATTTTGAAAACAATAAGAGTCTGAAAACAAACAAGATCTGGCCACTGAGGCTTCCCCTGTAATTTGCCACTACAGTAGGTGATAAAGTGGCATGATAAATGGCCCATGGAGAGAGGTATCGAGCACATGGGTGAAAATGGCCTCCAGACTTGCTGAAGTTGCCCACTCCTGATTCATAAACCACATTTCAGGAAATAGTAATGTATCAGAGAACATTTATTGCAAGGGGAAATAGGACCTTATTTAAAACAAAGGAGTAGAACAATTAAAGCAACAATAAGATAACCTAAAAATAGCTACTGTGCTAATGCAGTGCTGTAAACAGTAGGCAGATAAACCACAACCTTCCTGAATTAAAAGGCTTGGGCATGTAAAAGCATTTCCACCAGGCAATATGTATTTGCAAGTATTAGTAAGAGTAGGTAAACGACTCTCCAGAGGGCATTTTAGAATCAGGGTATTGCACTAGAGAAAACCTGATCATCAGTCAGCACCAGCCTCACCTTGACAGGGAAGGGTACCTGAGGAATAGACAGGTTCATATGGGAACAGACACACTTTTCTGCCTTTCTTAGTATGCAAAATCTGCAGCCCAGTGAGCAAACGTTAACATGCAGTTCTGCTGTAACAAAGGTGCTGTAAATGGCATAAGTTCCCTCTGGGGCAGAAGCTGGACTGATAGTCTGCGCAGCAGATTGCTGCCCCCAGCTGTGCCTCCAAGGTTTCTTTCAGGTGAGGGCAGTAGGGGAGAGATTCACCTGGGTGGTGGTGCTTTCAGCCAGGACAGCACCTTCCAGCTGATTGCTTCCTCCCACTTGCATGTGAGAAAAAATCTCGTGTGTGAGCAGGTGCAGGAGAAGCAGCTGGGCACACTGCTGTGGGAAGATGGAGGCAAGCAGCTGCACCCCTTGCTCCTGCTTGGAAGGAAGCAGGTGCTCTGGTGGACACTGGGCTCCTCAACCCAGCACCTGCCACATGCCTCTGTCCCAAGCAGAACACTGGGGTGGGCTTGCCCCCCTTTTTGCTCCTGCTCAAGAGAAAGCAGCTCAGGCAAGAGTGGGGAAAGGAGAACCTGGGCTAGGCAGAGGTGTTTTGTTTTCAGCCTGTCCCGGCCAAGTCCATGTTCCTGCTTTTCTGTGCAAGTAATTCTCTCCCCAGCAGAAGCAGAAAGGAAGGGCCTGGGTAGACAGAAAGTATCAAGAAGGAAGTCTCCTGGCCAAGTCCAGCACACCCCCTCCTGCTGGAGAGAAAGCCTCACTGGAAGGAGCAGAGAAAGCAGTGTGGTGGCGGCTGCCCTCACCTGGAGCAGCACCTCCCAGCTGACTACTCCCCCTGCTTCTCGTAAGTGGTTCCAGCACTCCACCGCCTGCTCCAGAAGGCTCCTGTGGGGCAGGCAGCAGAGGTGCCAGATTGGCTCCCCTTTCCTCTCTGCTGCACTTGAAGGCATGAAGTTCTGTCAAAGACAGGAGCCTCATTCGCCCTCACAGTGTCCCCTGGAATACTGTCTGGAAGAATGGGAGAGGGGAGGCTGCAGGAGGAAGAAGCAATGCAGTGAGCCTGGTCATCTGTCGAGTGCTTCACGACAACCCATCATGATGATTTACTTGTCCCATGGCAGGTTGTTGTGATGTGGAAACCTGCCCTTTGAGCCAGCTCACTTCACTGCTGCAGTACCTGAAATGTCTTGGAATCAATCATGCTATAAACTGTCCCTGCCAGATTTGCTGTTTTACTTTAATGTATATCTTAATAGTTAGTACTATATGTGGGTACAAGATGCATTTGAGGAGATGCAGAACTGTCACTGTGGTGTTTTTTGTGTGTGTCACATTTGTAGTGCCTCCAAACTCTGTGCCATCTGCATTTCTCCAGTCCTTAATTAACATGTTGATCAGAGTCAGAACAGACTGTGGTATGATAACATATGGTACCTCCTCCTAGTTTGACACAAAACCATTCCTATAAGAACTGTGTAGTTTTTCCACATTCATTTCCAAGCTGTCAGTCTAGAACCTTCCCGCAACCCCAAATTCAAGCCATTTCTCACCACAGATGAATTTTCCTTTCATACCACTGGTAATTTGAGAGCAAGTTTAGGAAGCTGCTCCACTAATCTGGGACAACACGGAACAGCCTGCTGACAACAGTGTATGAGGGTTCACAGTAATTCAGAACACACTGAGCCTTTCTCAGTTCTGCCCCACAGAGCCTACTCTCCAAGTTGCTCTGACTGAGGCGTTTTTTCCAGGCGAAACTAAGGAGTGCACCTCTCGCCGTGTGTGTCTTATGTGGAATTGGACAATATCCAAGAGCTGTGCCTCCACTTATTTCACTGTCCCCGTAAGACCTACTGGGAGCACGACAGGAGCCTGTATTTCCAAAAGCAACTCCAGAAATGCTCATTGCCACAAAAGGACAAGTCAGCAAAGCCCCCTCTCTGATCTTTGCTCATCAGCCCCATCCCATCAGCAATGGTTTTGCTCGTTTCTAAGCTGCTACCTTCCTGTTGTGCTTACGGTAGGACCCCACAGTGCATGGGCAGCATTAGATACAGCTCAGTATGAGATTTTGGGAAGAATGAAAGCACAACAACAGCCCCAAGTCAAACGTACAAAGTACTCAGGCCATATTTTTCTTTCCTGTTATAGATGGCCCTATCCAGACCAAGTGCCTCTAGATGGTTTGCACTGCAACTCCTATTGAATTTGGAGTGAAAGAGGTCGGGTAAGGCTGCTGGGGGCAAAATTTAATCCACATGTCACATGTGAAGCTACCTGAGTGGCAGGAGGCTCAAACCAAAGTAATTTATTTTTTAAAAAAACAGGCTTCACACGAATTAGCATGAGGTTCAGTGCTAAAAAAAGTGACAATGGCCACTGGCTTAGAGAGCTTATTCAAAAGCTTAGATCAGTGTGTGCAGGTTTACCCAACACAGCAAGTGAACCTCTGCATTCAGGCATCCAACTGCACTAGATACCTGAGACAAACAGCAGAGTATAATCTTCATTATTATCATATACCAATGGTTTAGAGAGACATTGCTGCACCCCACCAAGGTAATACTAGATTCTTTGGTTTGTTACCTGAGTTATGTTATCTTGACTCCATTCCAGCCTGTATCCCAGTGCACCGTCCCTAAGCGTTTCTGGAACCACTGCTTCCCATTCCAAGATCAGGCGAGAATCTCTTTGGGTAATGTGTACATTTTCAGGAGTATTGTTTGGAGCTGTAATGGAAATAAAAGATTTAATGTATATTCTGGTGTGTGTGTGTGTGTGAGAGAGAGAGAGAGAGAGAGAGAGAGAGATACTCAGCAGGGATATGTGTACATGGAATAGTCCTAGGGTAAACAGATATCCCGTTGGATAATTACTTTGCAGGGAATTGCAAAGGACTCTTAGGGCCAATCTAAATTTCACTTCTGTTTCTGCAGCAAGTTGAGAAACTGGGAAACAACAGTCTCAGCTAGGTAACTATTGGAACTAGGAATATCCTCACTTTACTTATCTGTTGTGTGCAAATATAACATGTAACGACAATAGGCCAGAGGCTTAAAGTACATGTTATATATTCTTTGACTTTTACTTTAAAGCAGAGATCCAGTGGTTTACTCAAGTTGTTGTCTGATGCTCAAGGACTGCATGATACAATGGGGAGCTCTTTCAGTGTTTACATACAGCATTAGCCCTCTCCAGGTGCTATAAAACCTAAGCATGGAAAAGATATGGGGGCACAAGGTGCTGTCCCTTCCACCCATGACATCTCCACTGCTCCATCTGATGGAGCCCTGCACAATCAGAGGGCCCAGTCATGCAAACCTCTGTAACTGAGTCCAGCTGAACATGGGTTACAAGTTTCCTTACAGACCTTCCCCATCAACAACCGGAAGGCCAGTAGCAAAGAGGAGTCAGAGTGCCAGAGCAGTCTTCTAGGACACCCAAAAAAGGCAGCAGCCTACTATGTCCTTACCTAATCCTAAGGTCTGAAAATAGACCCACTCTGTAAAAGGTGAGCTGCCCATTTCATTAGCGCACTGGACCCGGACACTGTAATTGGTCGAGTGCTTTAAACCAGGCAAAGCCCCAGTACAGGAGGGAGCAGGGACAACCTCTGTGGTAACCTCTGCATCTTCTTGTGGCTCGGCCACCTGTTGGAAAAGGTAGACAAAACGAATATGATCACATGAGCTGGTGAAATCTAACAGATTTCTCACGGATTTTTGTAAAGCAAACCACTGCCACCACCACCTAGTAGGATAACTTCTCAGTTGACAGTAGTGTGGGCAGTCACAACCCTTATGTTTCATTTGGTGACCAAGCCCTAAAGAAGCTTTCACCAATCTGGTGTCCTCCACATTGTCAAGGACAATGGGAGTTGTAATCCAAAGCATTTGCAGGACACAGCACCAGGAAAGTCTGTCCTAAAGCCGAGGTATTTGGGGCTGAAGTTATCAATCATAGCTTGCCACCTGCAAGTTTCCTGTGAGCGCAAAGTCATTCCTGTTGAGTCATATGGACATAAAGCAATTGGCAGTAGCATGCACTGAATTAGTGCTTTCTCTTTGCTCTTTTGTGCTTGCAGCAAGACATCAACTAACTGCACAGAGGGAAACACAAGAAACCACATTTCTTAAGCAATGGTCTGGCAGATTTGAGGCCTACTCTTCATCAATGAAATCAAACAAAGGAGGTAGTAACATGAACACAGTAGTTTTGGAGCCAAAGTATTCTTATGCTTCATTGAACACTTGCCACCTTTTCTACAAAAGCCTTAAAGACTTGCACTTATTATATACATCTGCTGAGGAAGAAACTTTTGCTTGCTACAGGAGCCACAGCCTGAAGGTGGGGATGAAGTGGGGTTGTACATGTACAGATGCTCAAGCATGCTGCTAAAACAGTCTGAGTGAGAGGTGGAAAAAGTTGCTGTGGGAGGCCATACGTAGAGTGATGACAAGCAGTGTGAATCTGTGTGCCAGAACAGCTGCTGTCAAAACTGCTGCTGCATTTGCAGAACACAGGTCTGCCTTTCTATTGTGGCTGTCCATTTCACATGGCCCACTCAGAAGTATGATCCAAGATATGCATGATTTCATGTAAAACAGTGTCTCCAGAAGCACGTATGATCTGAGCTATGTGATATGTGGCCCACAATATGGGAGAAGAACATTTGCTCTATGCCTCTCTTCCCTAGCACCCAGTTTAATGAAGACTGTATACGTGCGTTCACCCAATGCTTCTGTGGCATGAACCAAACTGTTAGCAAACTGCACATGATTCAGTTGATGTTAGTTCCTCAGATGTGCTGCTCTGTGTACATTTGTCAACAACGCCTTCTGTGCCCTATTTCTGTGGTTCTTGAGGTTCAGTGGCCTCTTGTGGGTCCTCCTTGTTCTTGAGGTTTTTTTTTTTTATTTATTTATATCCTGCCTTTTTCCTGCAAAGGGCTCAAGGCAGCTTACATCTCCTCCTCCATCTTATCCCCACAACAACAACCCTGTGAGGTGGGTTGGGCTGAGAGTCTGTGACTGGCCCAAAGTCACCCAGTTGGCTCCATGGCTAAGCGGGGACTAGAACCCAGATCGCCTGAGTCCCAGTCCCAGCTCTTCACCACTACACCACACTGGTTATGTGGCCTCCTGTGGTTCTTGTTCTTGAAGTTCAGTGACAGTTCTCTGCTCATACTGCTGCTGCTCTTCAATGGGTTTCCATAGTCTTCTGCCAATTCCTGCTCTCCTGCTCGTCAGGGATCTTGCAAAGGGGGTGGGGAAGTCACTCTGTTCAGCAAAACATCCAACCAGGTCTGATTCCAGTGGTGGCATTTCTCCACCACATTCTCCTTTAACAAGTTTTACAAAAACGGTTTTCTATCATGATCCTCTCCTTAAGCAGAGGTGTGCTGTATAAATGGCCAAGTGTATCACAAGCACATCAATATCTGTGCGGTGCATTAGCTGCTCATTCTTTTCCAGGACAGTTGCTGTACAGAGACCCTCAGAAGAATGACAGCCTCTGGCATGCTGGGTCCAGAAACCTCCAGCTCAGATAGCATCCTTCTTGTAAAGGAGGGTCAGAATGCTTCACAAATGGCTCGCTCCATATCCCTTTTAAATTTTAAGATGCCTTTTTTAAGCACAAGAAATTTGTGTAATTTTTGGAAGTTTTAAAAATTATTTTTAAAATTGAACTTGCACAAATGAGGTTGTATACACCTTTATTTTTAACTTTGGTTTCTCTTGACAGCTGGCAAAGGTGACCTGTCAAGAGAAATCAAAGCAGGTATGATCTTTGCTCATAAAAAGAGGTGGCCATGAGATCACCCCATTAGCAGTGAGATCTCGGACCTGTCAAAACTGCAATAGCCCTTTAAACTTTCTTTTGACAGGACTAATTGCGGTTTTGTTTTTTGACAGCGATATATACAAGTATGAATATGTATATCCCTGGGGGTTTTTTTAATGGGTAACCATTTCAAGCACTCCCCTACCCAAACTGTCTTTAAAAGAAACTGGAATTTTGACAGCTAGCTGTCTATGTTCCTGTAAAAGGGGGTGGCTTGTACCTTCCTAAGCACCTGTGGTCTCAGGTGGAAAAGTACAATCAACCTAATAAGTGTGCATTCTCCCAAACCCTTTGTGGGTCTCACCACAGCAGCGGTGATCTAGTGCCATGGATTTTTGGATTGGTTTGCTGCCTATGAACATGTCACTTCACTGTGGTTTGTCACCAACTGTGGGCTTTGTTAGCAAACTTAGTCAATAAGAACCCACCATGGCTTGTTTGTTGGCTGTCATGTCATGTGAACTCAATTTATCATGTGCTCACCTGTAATAAAGAAATACTCCTGCTATCCCACATAGTTTGCCTTTCCTATTTAATTACATGCCATATGTAGATGTATTTTCTCCCTTTTGATAAGGGTTTTGTAACCTGATTTATTTTTATTTATGAATACTTCTATATATGTGCATACTTTAAAATGAATATCTTAAAAAATGACATAAAATGCTAGGTTATGATCTTGCTCACTTAATCACAAAGAGAATCTTACCAGTTTTTCAAACTGTTGTTTTTAAGAGAATTGAGATGGTTCTTATATCCTACCACATATGCATGCATCCTTTTTGCCCACTGACAACTTTGCAGTAGGCTTATGAAACATTACAAAACAGGGAAAACATGTGAACAGAGATACTAATGAGTTGACTGTGCGTGGAATTGTTCCAGACAACCATCAGCACTGAGAAAAAAGAATTGCTTATCTCCAGCCCTAAAATAACAACAACCATTCATTTCTGGGCAGCTAGAGGTATGCATGGATGGCTGTGTAACAATATGGGTCAGTGGGCAATGGTATGCATGTATAATCAGATTAGGGAGATGCCAAATGTATTTTCCTGGCCCAGGTAAAGCTTTCTGTAATGCAGCGTGGTTGCTGTGTTAAACCTGATCAGAGTGAAAATCCTGTTGGTCTCTTTCAGCATTGGACAGAAAGACTTATGAAGCTTAGGAAAGAGAGGCTGCCCAAGGGGGGGATGAAATCTGAACTGCTCTCACTTTACTTCCCTCTCCATTTTACCCATTGCAAATAAAGAAACGAAATGGGAAGGTTGGGGGAGGAACTTGAAACTAAGACAGATTTCCATTGTATGGTGAATGGTGGACGTGCATACTAGAAAAACTAGGCTGTACTGAGAGGGGCGAGCTCAGCATTCCAACGGGAAGGAGGAAATGCATTCTGATTACTGAGGGCCTCAACAGAACAGCAGCAGGAGTCGTACATGAATGGAGAGCAAAGTTGCTGCATGCAGAAAGTAATGATGAATGTGATCATCTCAATGGGTCTTTTACTTCAAAAGAGAAATATGCAAAAGTCTCTCCTGAATCTCCTCTGAAAAAGAAGAAAGCGGAATAATCTCAGCCTTGCACTTCTGTTAGTGCCTTGTGATATAAGGGTGTTGATAACACTGAAAACGCAAGGGACCTTCCCACAGTGACATGCACTGGGGGGAAGAATTCATTTGTAATCCTCTTGCAGACCTGCATCCAAGAAATGCAAAACATTCATTTCCCATACTCACAGAACTTCTGTCTTGTCTGGCTTGTGGTTTGGCTTGTTTCCTGTATATTTAGTGTATGAGTTTGTGGTATGTGTGTGAATGAGGTGTAGATGCTGCTTTGGCCCTACCTCCATTTGACTTTGGCCCCGCCTACTGTGGCCACCGGTTACGTGACCCCTGGAACGTTACCCACAAGGAAATGTGGCCCTTGGAAAAAGACGCCCTGCCTCTGTTTTATTGACTCTGGCTTGTTCTCTGGCTCTGGCCCTCAGTTCCAACCTGAAGACAACCTGCAGCTCAGCTCTGCCAGTTCCTCACTTGAGAGCTGTGTGAATTCGCTCATTCAGAGAACCAGTTAGTGTGACCAATTTGGGATGCTGAAAATGTGACTTAAATGGAGTAGGGCTTGTTAAAGTGGATGTTTAGCAGTTGTGCCACACATTCAATTTGCAATTCAGGCCTTGTTTGTGACATGACCTGTTTAATATCTACTCTGCAGCAGCTGCAATGGTACAATAAATACAGGCTAAGTAGCAAGCAATCACAAAAGGTAAGATGAGCCCTGCTGGATCAGGCCAAGGGTTCATCCAGTCCAGCATTTTGTTCACCGAATGGCCCACCAGCTGCCTACTGCAAAGCTGTAAGTAGGAAAAAGTATAACAGCAACCTCATCAATATAACCCCAGCAGCTGGTCTGCAAAGACATAGGAGCGCAACTATCAAAGTTAATATACAGTCATGTTAACTAGTGACTACTGATGCTCTTATCCTCCACACATTTGTGCAACCCCTCTTTAAAGCCAACTAAATTAACCATCATCACTACATCCTGTGGCAGCAAATTCCATAGTTTGCTATAACCCCCCCCCCCCCACACACACACACACACGCTCCAGCACTTCTCTCTCTCTTCCTTTCAATAATAAAGCAAGGTTTAGGCCAACAATGGTGCCACCTACAGAAGTTGTTTCAGGACCAAAGCCTGCCATGGATCCTAAAGTGAGGGCTTCTAAGACACTCCTCTAAGCCTTTGTTCCAATGCCAAGTACTGGATAAAAAGAGAAACCATAAGGTGACCGAGCAGATTATAAGAAGTTGTGTGGGACTCCACAAAACAAGGGCATTATTCATTTTATGTACTTGTGAATTATATACCAGTTGCAGTTTTATTGTTCCCTTTCTGGAGTGACTGTCTGATAGAACATTGGCCGAGTGAATGTGCAAACCACTTGCAGACAGGGATTTTTATATAACTAACCAAGTAGCCTTATTTGCAGAGGCTGCAAGAAAGGTTTGTGCAAAGCTCTTAAAAGCTATTGCTGTGTACCCTTTTCTTCCTGTGATTGTGTCTCTTTTGCTGCTTTTATGGAAAAATTGTAAGAAGCTATAGTTATATGAAATAGAATCAATTGCCTGACTCTTAAGAAGCCTCCAATATATTATAAAAAGATGTTGTATCAAAGACAGTGTACAGAATCTCTGCTTCTTTATCGCATTGGTTATTGGATGTAATCTTTAATATTATTTGAGTGAAATAGAAAAAACAAAACCATACCGACTTTTAGTGGGCCAGTTTGGACAATATGACAGCTCATCATGGGTTTCACAGTCCCTGAGGGGCTGCAAAGCATGCTGTCCACCATTGCAAATATAAACTATGATGAACGACTATTATTACTTGTCATGTCATGTCAAAGAACCCTAGGGAGGGTTCTTTGGCAGTTAAATAGCTCTCCCCAGCCAAGTTTCATGATGTAACAAGTCATAGGAACTCCCTGGTTGGGGATGCACAAGGCTCAATTAACCCACAATGGGGTGTCGTGTCATCCAAACCAGGTCAATAACTTAAATCTCCAAATTAAAAAAGGGGATCACAAAGGTTATATATTTTATTTTGGTGTAGAAACACATGAAATATTTTCTTCTAGGACTTACTAGGACAGATAACCTCTTCATTCATTTAAAGAATGATTGAAGGAATGACACCCAATGCTTGCATGTTTGGTGCATATGTAAGAAGAGGGTCTTAGCATGAACCAACACACAGAACTCCTCCTGTAGAGGAAAACCGTAAGTGGCACAGGATTATCCATTGCGTAGGGAAATTATATTGTGTCATACAAAAAGAGGGAAGGGGAAGGTGTTATGGGGTCCCCAAGGGTTTGAGAGCAGGAGACTGGTGAGAACAGCAGAGACACAAGTGAGGAAACCCAGCTGTTGGCTAAGGACAGTAAAGTTGCTCCCTCTGAACTCATGGGGATTCAAGCTGATAATGAGGAAGAGAAGGGAATAGTAAAAATATGATATCCAAGAGTTAGGCATCAGATTAAAATGAAGGGCAGAGTCACAAGGCACTCAAAAATACTAATAGCCAGGAGGTGGCCTCATGGAAAGACCCACCATGAGGGTGGAACCTGGTAGCCTGCTCAGTTTGAGAAGGGCAAGCAGTAGTAGATAGTGTCCATTTTCTGACAACTCGTTTTCATGATGCTCCAACTCGGGGAACCATGTGAAGCCTGTGAGATACTGAGTTATGCAAAGCCTGCCAATAACTTTTGGTCTCTTTTGGCTACAAGAGGACCCTGTCTGTAGCCTGAGGCACTGCTTGCTTGTAGTTTGCATAATAAAGAAATAGGACTTGGCTGTTTGACTGGAGAAGGTAGTCACATGTGTATGACACATGCATATATCAGAATGTGCATACAGCCTCTTGTTACCTGTCCTGAGTGCAAGACCGCAAGGCACAATCCCACTCCCACCTTGGCATGTGTGCATTGTTCATGTTACAATCTATTCTCTTGAGCCATTTTGGGAGGTAGAGGTGGGGGTCAGGGTAGAATATCATCTTATTATTCACTGTACAGCAAAGCAGAGTTTCAGGACTTTGGACAAGCTTCCGATGGAAAGCCTACCTTCCTAAGTTTCTAGTTTTTCTTCAATCCACTCAGCTTGTGCCATAGTCAGATAAGTAATATCTGTTTAAGTAATGCTGACTGTACACAGCTCCGTTTCCAAGAACAATGGAGGCCCTCAGAATGTTGGCAAAACAAGTTCTGCCACAGAAAGCATCAGGTGCTCCAAGGAGCAAAATAGCTGTTGACTTGGTGTTTTCTGATTGTTTTGGAGTACAATTCCTGCAAGCTCCAGTCCCCATAATTCATGAGCACTGGTCAGGGTGGATGAAGCTTATGGAAACTGCGCAACCCCAGGCTGCCTACCCATTGCCTTGGTCCGACCATTTGGTTTAGAAGGTGGGTAAATGTATGTATGAAACATACCTGAACAGTACAAGAATGAAGTGGGGAACGACCATCAAATCCTGGTAGCCAACTGATACTGGCATTGGTGCTGGTGATCTGAGTTACTGTCACATTGAGAGGTGGAAGGGGGAGAGCTGAAACAGAAGGATGGACAATGTTTAGCATTTACAGAACTGAACAGATATTTAGATAGAAGCCTGCGGATATGATCATGTGAGAACCTGGATAAGGCCCCTGAGGAGTGCTAATTAAGCTTTGTATGAACAGTGGAAGCTTGCTCATGACATCATAAACCCTACTTAACCCTGAATAATATATTCTCTTTATTCACTGTTGGGTTATTAAACAGACATAGAAAACAGAGAACATTTGTTACAGGCATTTCCACAATCATTCTGCTATGGAATCTGAGATACGAGCTGTACTAAATTTCTTAAACCCCTTCATAAGCCTATCTATTTCAGAGGTCTGCTGGTGCCAGATTGTTATACCTTACTTGGAACTGACAAGTTGAGACTGTTTTCCATTTACTACTATTTAATCATTGGGAGAACCAAGATTTTTTCAAGCAAGCAAGCAAGCAAGCAAGCAAGCAAGCAAGCAAGCAAGCACATACAGTAAATGGATCCAGGAAAGTTGGTCCCAATTTAACAAAATAGGCTTCCCTGAGAAATGCAAACTCAAAAATGCTCCCAGCTTTTCACATTTCTCTTACTGAACAACCATCCCTATGTCACAATGCACCCACCAACAAATGAAACTTGACCTGGTGACTTCACATATTCCTCTCACAGCACTTTCTTCAAACGTACCAGTTCTACTCTAAAAAGACTGAAAGTGCTTTGCCAGGGAGAGCCTGAAAAACAGTGCCCACTGTGGCACCTTAGTTTCCTGAAGAATTTGGAAGCCCATCTAATTTACTTCTGACTACTCAAAACAAAACCCTGTACACTAGCATTCCCAAACCTGGAGCCCATAATCCCCAGATATGTCTGTTTGGGAATGATAGAAGTTGCAGACCAGGCTGAAAAAGGCTGTGCCACATTGTGCAAAATAATTTTGCACCAACTGAAACTTTCAGACAGTTTCCATGCTCTAGGGAGAATGTATATGAGTAAACCAGAGTTTGTGGAACTTTGACATAATCATAATTGTCTAGATTAAAAATAAAGTTGGCATGCCATGCAAAGCTGAGCAAAAAGCACTCCTGGTCGCAGCTGCTACCTGCAATTTTTTAACATTCAGGAACAATGTTAGGTGCAGAATCTCTCCCTATACCTTAATGGAAACAGGATAATGTTGGGTGGTGGGGTTGAACAAGACATGGGCTGAAAGAAATACAAGGGAACACAAAGCAACGTGATAAAACAGAAAAAATGTGTGAATGTCTGGGTTTGGGATGGAGAGAGGAAGAACTGCTCATGACCCCCATACCAGAAGCCTATTTGTGTTGTGATATTGTGCATGCATCTGTTACACCAGATACTGTGGATATGTACTTGAGACATAACAATATTTCTGTGCAAGCCTTTGGTTTGAAAAAGCTATCTGCAATGTCTTGGCTTGTTGTCTCTTTTAAAGATGTCATTCCTCCCTGTTTGCCCTCCCCTTCCACTGCTCTGGCCCACTTTCCTCTTATTTACTCCCAATCTTCTCACTCCATATGTTCTCTCCAGTCCACCTCTTTGCTGCTCCCATCATCTCCTGCTCCCACTCTTGGCTCAGCACTTCCATTCATGCTGCCACTGACTCTTGAAACGGTCGCCCACTCCTTGCCTGGCAAATGCTATCGCTTTCCGTCAGATCCTTCCTCCTAATCTGCTCGCCCTCATTCTCCGGAACAGTAATCCCTCACATTTTGTTTACTTGCAGTAGCTCCACTCCAAAGAACTGCAAATGTATCTGTAAGTGAGAAGCCTAGGCAACTTCTCCCCATAGCACGGAACTGAAGATCCAGCAGAAGAAAGAAAAGGCCCTTTCAGTAGGCTCTGAACTGTCAAATGCTTTGCCACCAACCTGAATACAGAGGTGGGATCAGTTCCAGTTCTGTTTGGTTGCAAAGACCTCTTATGCCTGGCAGCAGCCATTCTGCACTGTCCTTCTAGGATTACCAGAGTGGCCCTACTGGATCAGACCAAAATGCGGTTGGGTCCAGAACTCTACTTCAACAACATCCAATTCCTGGAAAGGAGGCCACAGCTTAAGAGTTTTGCATGTAGAAGGCCAGTTTCAATTCCTGGCATCTCCTGTTAAAAAGGACCTCAGGTCACTGGTCAAATGAAATGCTCACCAAGCCCAGTACTGTACACTATAATGCCAACAGCTTCCCAGGATGCCTGGCAGAAGACTTTCCCATCACCTGCCACCTGATTCTTTTGTAACAGGAGATGCCAAGGATTGCAGCTGGGAGCTTCTGCATGCAGTGTACATGCTCAGCCACTGAGCTACCTTCGCTTCACCTGCTGCAGAAGTAGCAGGATTTCCTCCTTCTAACCAAGCTGCACAAGTGCAGTTCACAAGATGTTTCAGACTACTAGTGAGCCAAAGTCACTAGCATTTAATGGCTGCTTCGTAGCTGACAGGAGCTGTTGACTCCAACAGTTTAGTTCAGGAAATTTCCCTGAGCAGCCTGCTCTGATGATAGGCGAGGATACTGTTTTCAAACTGAATCAGCAATTCACCTTGTAGAGCTTCCGACAAGAATGCAAGGAGAAGCAGAAGCCAGCTTGGAACTTCATGCCATCAAGTCATGAAGCAAACAAAGATCAATGGCCTGAGAGAGCAATATCACCTCCTGATCTTCCCAGGGGACTACCTAAAGATCTGCATTGCTTGAGGGAGGAGCAGAAGATGAGAATCCCTGCTTTCACAACAAGATGTAGTGATGGCCACCAACCTCAATGGAGGAGAAGGCTACCAGTGGCTACTAGTCCCAATGGCTATATGCTACTGCATATAGAGGCAGTATGCCTGTGTACACCAACTGCTAGGGAACATGGGAAATACTTATTTTTAAAATGGCAAAGTAGACGGTACTAAAGTAGATGGAACCATGTGCTGACAATATAAGATAGCTTCATTTATCCTATTTTATTCCCGAAGGAAGATCACAAGAAGAACCAAGTGGAGATAAACATCCTCTGCTATGCATGCCTGTCCATCAGTCCACAAAGTACAGGGCACAACCATCACTGAAACCAGATGAACAACCTTCAGAGTGCATTATGGGCAAACATATTTGAGATAGCAGCAGCAAGTAACTTCTAGAGACCTCTGCAAATCACATTCATGGAATTGGTTTCATGCTGCAGACCTTGTGTAAAGCACTGAAAAGGATCTCAAACCAGTACCTCTAGCGACCAGTTTTTGATGTCACCTCCAATACCACCGGTTATCTGGGTCTTCAGTGAGCTAGTAAGGCCAACTCTGTAGGGCAAAAGTACTTTCTAGGCTGTAGTGCTCTCCTGTCTATCATTCTCTGACTGCAGCTTGAAGATAGTCAGATCTCCAAAACCAAGGGAGAGGCATCAGGATCTATAAAGCTCTTCCTTCAAGGTTGGTCCAGCAATCCAAACAACTTGTCTCACTGAGTGCAAACAACTGGCTGTGTTCATTCAACATCATAAGCAACAGTGCATAGCTAACATGAGTCAGTGTTTTTGTTAGGAGCCTCTGCTCATCAGAAATAATGAGTATTTGCTATTTAACATAATTTATTCCAGCCATGAAGCTACAGAACAAATAGCAAGAGAAGGTACTACAATAGCTCCATTCCTTTACCAACTGGAGATTTGCTCTTTGCATCTTGGGATTTCACTTGGGATTTCATTACATACTGGCAGCTGAGATCCTCAGGGTGCAAAATTCTGCACTAGGTATCAGATTCTGCACAATGCAGTCATAATTGGATATATGATCCCTTTTTAAAAAATAAAACCTTCCTTTCAAATGAATGAAGTATTTCTTCACAGGAATGCATCCATATAAAAGCAATTCAGTATTGCTTGCAGATATCAACAACTAATTACAAACTCAGCTGTATATTTTCATTGATAGAGAGGGTTTGAATTCCTCCTGGCCAGCCCTTTCATTTCTTTCTAACTTGCTTTCATTTCTTGGGAGGAAGACATGCAATACAAGAATAGAAATAGTTGAATTAGCAAAAATTATTAAATGAGAGTTTTGATGCTGAACAGACAAAAGAAATTCACACAGCCATAAGATTCCCAAAATTTAATTGCCCCAGTGGTAATTGGCTTCCTCCTGTTTTCAGCTGCTAATGAGATGCCAGTCTATTAGCACAAAAGAGTGGTGAAAGAGGATTGGGGTTCAAAAACCCAGTCTATGTGTGCTGAAAAGGAAGAGATCCCTATTTTTGTATTTTAATCTAATGTTTATATTTTTAATTTAAGATTATAATTATTTTAATTTATTGTTGTAAGCCGCCCCGAGGCTTCGGCGAATGGGGAGGCATAAAAATGTTTTAATAAATAAATAAATTTAGCCTCTGCCTGATAACATCACAGCAGCCCTTTCTGTTCACAAACGGCTCTGATAACCTGACCCAATCCTTTTCAAGGAAAATCTGGTATCTTGCATCACCTTCCCTTCTTGAACCAATTGTATCTTGCATGGAATGGCAAATTTCACTGCAGAGGAATGGGCCTGCATATCAAACAGGAAGCACAACACATTATTTCATCTGCTGAGAGCATGGAGCAGGCACTGTTGGAAAGAAGCTCAGAAGTCTTCTGTGAGTGAGTGTGTGTGGGAGGAGGGAGGGTAAAAGAACTATTTTAGCTTCTCTTGTCCTGCTTTTGGTTCTTTTCCCTCCATGTGTTTTTTGCCTCTGGAAGTGCAAGGAATGCTCTCTCACCTTTAATCTGCACTGTTGCCGTCCGAGATGAAGACAGTCCCTTTATGTTATGGGCTTCGCAGGAAAAAACTGTGCTTTGATTAATACCTGGAGACCAGCCAAGAAAAAAGGAGAAAGGAATTTTCGTTTAAGAAAGCCGCACATAAAACTGCTATATAATCCCTCAGCTTCAACCACAAGCAGAATTTCAATTATGTTTGACACAGAGCTCAGACTCTATGTATGCAACTTTGGGGGCTGAACTGGAAGCAGATCAAACTCACGTGCACTGGAGTGTAATTACCATGTCAATGGCTTTTTATACAACAGGAAGAATGTGGCAAAGAGGAGCTCATGGTGCGGCTTGTTCTGCAATTCATGAAAAGGGAGGCGGGGGAAGGGACTTTGCTAAGCAGGCCGGCAGGCAGTGTTAGGCTCTTCGCTCTCTCGCATTGTTGTGAGCTCACTGCTGTCCTTGCCTGGACGCTCCCCATTGTTCCCTGCACTCAAGTCAAGGCTTGTGTACACTCCATTCCTATGTTTGCGCAGTGCCTGGGGAGATGGGGCTTCCGGCCTGACCAGGGTCTTGAGCTATTGTTGAATTATATCCACAACCTTCATTAAAATGACAGGCATCTCTGAAGCCAAAGATGCAGACAATGCTTGATTAATAAAATCAATATGCAGTAACCAAGCTGTAAGGGAATAACTTAACCTGTGGTCACCAAACCAGTGGGCTTGTCTCTGTGGTAAGTACTGCTGTGCTCCATGTGGCCCAAACAGGGGCACCTGATGAACAGCATTTTGTCCTAGTACTCATATGCCTATTTATGATAAGAGAAAACAGGACAAAAGGCTACTCAACCAGAAGAGGAATGTCTATTGGAACGTTTACTTTGTCCCCTAAGAGACAAGGCAATAAGGAACAAACCCTCTGGCCTCTGCGCCATTAGTGATTTCCCTCACCACAGAATATCATCTCACTCAGCATTATGGCCTGCTCACAGGAAGTACAGAATCCTAGTTTACTGAAAACTGGATCCTTAAGCTTTGAGGACTACAGATACTTTGAATAATCTTTCTGTTTATTTTTCAATGCTTTACACATTGCCTTTTTTGGTGCAATCTCTTGTGATATTACATCTGAAGAAATTAAGCAGCGACTCTTCAATTATTTTTTTAAAATTGAATAAAGCCACCTTTGGTAAAGCTGCCCAAGGAAATTACTTTCTGCAGGTTTTTTTTGAGCTTTAGCTGGCTTCATAATGCTTGGTTCAGGCATTATACACCCGGGCCTGAACCATGAGCCTGCAGTTTAGAAATATGATGTACTGTCAACAATTGTCTGAAGTAGACTTGTATATCTTTACTGAAAATGAAGATGACAAGCAGGAGTAGAAGATCAAAAGATTAATGGAATGATGACAAGATAAACTTAAAAACCTCCTTATGAAACCACAAGGTGATATATTCTAGCTGACAAGAGATCAAGCAACGCTCGTATGATTATTGCTCTTTTCGACTGTGGTAACACCCAACACACTCTCCCTGTTTACCAGGTGCAGACAGAAGCATACTCTGCTCTAAAGAACGTGTGATCTGTATTGTGAATATGATTAAGTCAGCTCATCAAATTCTGGTCCCACCAGCCCTCTTCCAAGTTTATTACAGCTGTTGCCAATTGCAGCACCCCAAAACACCCCAGAAGTAGTTGGCCAGAGGAAGTCCCCAAGAATAGTTGGCCAGAGGGAGGCCACACAGTTAAAACACCAGTTACATTGCATTGGGCTGCACATCCCCTTTTGTCTCCCTTTATTCTATTGTGCACTAGAATAAAGCTGGTTTTGGCTCTAAGTCTTGTCACAGACTCGTTTTGACTCAGGTCTGGGGTCCACCCGGGTTTGCCCTAGCTGTTGACTGGCTGAGTTCGGCAACACAACTTTACCCATTCTGGTGCATTTCCTGCCCAAACTAATTTTTCATTCCATCCCTCATGCAAATTCCTGTCTTTGCATGTTTCTGGAACTGTTATCTAGTGATAGCATACACAGGTTCACCTCTGATCCTTCCTCTTCCCTCCAGAGATGAGCATCTATATGCAAAGCCTATGGAATACTATAGAGAGGGAAATATAGAGGAAAGCACAGATTCCAGCACAGACAATTTATTATTTATTCCACCCTGGGTTCTGTATTGGCATCATGCTAAAGTGGGACACAACCAGTGAGAGAAGGCGAAAGAGGAGTTGTAGCTGTTTTGCTTTGTTTTGATGCCCTTGGTATATCTATATGGGATACTACTGAGGATATAGTTTTCATCATACCAGAATGAGCTGGCTTGTTTTTTTATTTTCTATTTTCAACCCACTCCCACTGCTCCACTGATCATTTTTCTTGGTAAGTTTGTTTCATAAAGTCCTTCAGTTTTTGTCTTGAAGTTCTAACCAACAAACAAATGATTCGTCTAGCATGTAGTTCTATGGTAAATATCCTTTCCTGTATCCATTTTGTCTTTGTTCTATTATTTTTCAGGGCAGGTTTCCCCAAGCCCCTCTGATGTGTTCAATGACATATTCCTAGGGGAATGATGGGAGTTATAGTCGAACAGATCTGGAGAGTATCAAGAGGAGGAAGTGTGAACTAGTGTGAACTGCCTAGAGTTGCCATAGGTAGAGTAGGCAGCATATAAATATTTTAAATAAATAAATGGCCTTTTGCCTCTTTAGAAGAGATGGAAGCATTCAGAACAACTCAAGCTATTATACTCTGTAAGCCATGTGGATAAAATTAAATTTATAGGAATAAATTTTATAACCAAGGATATACTCTAGGTAGGAAGTGTACCTTTACTGACTGGGTACAAGTTTTTCAGAAGGTATATTTGCTCCTAAATAAACTAGCTCGCACCTCAAAGTTCCATGGACATTTTACACAAATGCCTATTTGATCACTGCATAATGGATACTCATCACTTCCAGCTGCTTTTTAGCCTTGGAACATACCACAGAAACAATCTCACATAATCACAGCAACATGATGCTGGTGGTGTTTTTATCATCTCTTCCTCAGTCATCCCACTCCTTGCTGATGACTTTTATTCATCCTAAGGGGAGCCTTACCTGACACATTTAGGGTGGAGGGGGAGATATCAGGGAGCCCCACTCTGGAGTCACCCATCCACCAGACGATGGTCACTGGCTCAGGCGGGCCAGCTGCAGCACAGTACATGTGAAAAGGAGTGTTAGGGATGACCGACAGATCTTCTGGCTCAATGGTGAAGTAAGGAACACCTTAAAAACAAAATATTTTTTATTTATTTTCTATTTATATCCAGCCTTTTTCCTACAAAGGGCTCAAGGCAGCTTTTATCTCCTCCTCCATCTTATCCCCAAAGCAACAACCCTGTGAGGTAGGTTGGGCTGAGACTTTGTGACTGGCCCAAAGTCACCCAGTTGGCTCCATGGCTGAGTGGGGACTAGAACCCAGATCGTCTGAGTCCCAGTCCCATGCTCTTAGCCACTACACCACACTATAAAAGCTAAAAGTGGCAGAGCTTTCATCCTGATCAGTGAGAACAATTCCATTTAATTCTTTCATAATAGTTTATTATTAACAACTTAACTTGCAGTATATCTTTGCCCTTTATCTTATATAAAGCTTCCAACAGACCATCCCTATTTATATGCAGAAATAATTTTGTTCTGTACTTTTATTTATTTATTATTATTTATTTATTTAGAGTTTTTGTATGCCGTCCCATCGCTTATAGCCTCGGGACGGCTCACATAAATAAACATGATACAAAATACAATTAAAATCCGGAAACACCCTGGCTGCACAATTAAAACCAATTAATTTGGTTCTGCACTATTTATATTTACTAAAAAATAAATAACAATAACTAGCAAACTAATAACAATAACTAAAATAAATAACAATAACTAGATGCTAGTGGAATAGGAGCAGATTTTGTGATGGAATTCTGACATTATTGGTCAGAGGTCCCACCTGTTCAGAACAGCTGGGGTTGTACATGCCCAGCCCCCTGTAAAAAGCTGGAATCCCATCAATTAATGGTATTGTGGAGAAAGGAAAGTAATGGGGAGAACTGAATCCAGCTCTCCACTCCCTCTCCGAAAGCATGGCAAATTGTTAAGAGGTTACATGAGAGACATCTGGCTACTGGATTGACCTGGGGAAACACACACAGCATCCATTTAGATACACAGTTCCCAGAGATAGGTGCATGGAAGGCGGCTTCCCCAGCATATAAACTCCATAGCTGGACTAGTGCATGAAACTATTTGTATTCAAAGTAGCCTACTAGGTGAGTATCTTGCCTTGTTTTACTGTTGTGCAATCACTATTTTGTATTGTAACTTTACTGTTTTATTGCTGACTACTTAGAGAGCATGACTTTAAAGGAGTAAATAAATCTGAGAAATAATAATATACCAAGACATTCATTAGCAACTCACATTTAATAACACCTAAATTAGAAATTATACTATCTTGCCCTGTTCAAACTTTGAACACCTTTCCTCAGGGGTGTTTAACTGTATATTAAAACTGGATTCAAAGAGCCAGGCTGAACCTGCTACTGTATCTTATTCTAAACATAAAGACTTAATTAAGAGTAGAATCCAATGCATGTTTTAAAAGCAAAAAAGATTGCAACTCCCAACATTCTTCAACCAACATACTGAGAATAGTAGGTATCCCCTCTCCCCGTCTAAACATGCTGGTTGGAGAATGTTGGGAGTTGTAGGACTTTTCTCTGTCTAAACATGCCCAGGATTGTACTCTAAACCAAAAATGAAAAATAGAATGCACATCCTACATTGTTTTTCCCAAAAGTTTGGGGGGTAGATTTCGCCACATTCCAGGATAACCCAGAGGGTGGAGGAATGGACAGACGCTAAAGAGAACATTTAGAGCTGAGGCAATATAGAAAAATGTTGCTAAATTACGAATGTGAATCTTATGCTGTGACATTTCACCAATATCCAATTTTAAGTATGTACCTCATAGCTCAGAATATACTTATATTGACTTATAATGTTAATTTTGCTTTTCAAAACAGATTAAAAAAACTGGAAAAAATGAATTCCACTGTGAATGGCATAGCTATGCTATGAGCCTACCTACCTATGTCCAAATTTGAATTACAAAATGCTGAAGTTCAGATGAGTGTCTTTGCTCCCTCCACCATCACTTGTCTTTGTCTTTCAGGTTGTTCATGATGCTGAAATTGTAGGCGTTTATCCTGAATTGGCTTTTGTTCACAAAGATTGCAGGAATAGTCTACCAAAATCCGCTTGCTTGCTCTTTTGTTTTATTCCAGTGCCTCTTTGCAATGAATTCTATCCACCAATTGGCTTGGATAATAACTATGGACATCACAACCATTGTTAAGCTTTTTTAAGCAGAAAAATGAAGCACATGCCTAGCCCAACTGAAATCAGCGCAACTTAAGAATGCTTAACTTTGGCTGGATATTGCCACAAGACGATATTTACACAGTGACATCAGAACCCAATGAAAGAAAGCAAAACAAAAGCCCTTACTGTGTAGGAACACTTGCCCTTGCTTTCAGGTCCCCTGACCTCTGATTAACTACTGATTGATCATATACAAATATCTCCATCATGTAAACTAATTGTGTGTGATATCACAGAATTAATAAGGGAAAGGCCCTCAAATGCACAGAACTGGAAAGGCTAGTTCTAACTTTCTGTGATCCTCAAAAGACAATCTTTGTTATTGGCTCTTGTGACATCTCTTTCAAAGAAAAAAGCCATTGTTCCTGCCCCAGGTCTTTCCTTCAGGGCTGACCTCAGGTCCAGCCCAATGTACACTTCTCTGCAATAGACAAATCTTGACAAGAAGGCACAGAAGAATATGGCAAAGTCCACATCTCCTGGATAAACATAGCTAGGTAACAAGGCCTTCCTGAGTACTAATTAGAATAGGAACTCCAGAGTGTTCAGATTAAGTACTATCAATATCGCCACACAGCAAACCCTAGTGACAAACCCTATGCGCTGCTGTTAATATCAGGGTTAAATAAGAGACTCTAAATGTGCGATGCTATGCCAGTTCACACAGAGAATAAGGTTGGAGCATGCTGGGCGCTGTAGGCCTTTTTCCATCTAAGATCATGTCCTGAACAAACATATTTGATGCACCTGTCATCAGAGAACAAGATCTTTAAAAAGACTTCGAAATACACTTTTTGATGTTCAGCTCCTATTCTAATAATCTCCCGCATTCAATATATGGCAAGCTTCCTATTATGCATCATAAGTACCTGGAAATGTTTAACTGAAAAACAACTTCACTTTGAATTGTTACAGCTTTGCCCGACTGGGTGCCCTCCAGCTGTGCTGGACCACAGCCCAATCAACCCCAAGCAGCATGGCCATGTGAGAAGTTGTAGTCCAGCACAGTGAGGGAGGGCTGAGTTAGCTATTTTGCCAAAAGGAAATTAAACTTAAGCTTCACACACAGTGGCCATCCCACGGAGCATATGCTCCATGCTCATGCCATTTCATGCGTTATCTATTTATCATAATTTTCTTTATTACTGTAAATAAAAACATGCAGTACAACTGTGATCATCTCTCGCACAAACTTTTTTGTCATCAAAAAGGTTACATCTTCCTGCACTAAAAGGGAGACTACTGTGTAGTGGCTAATTGCATAAATTGCAGACCATGGTACCCCCAGCCCTGGTTCAAGCCTCTCAGGTCACCTTAGACAAAGTCCCAATAGCTCAGGCTTGGTGCAAATGTGGCACAAATTTGTTATTTGATTCCTGAAAGGATAACAAGTCAGGGCCAAACTGGATGTCACACAAGAGAAACATGAAAACATCTCATACGTTTTAAAATTATTATGCAATGAAAAGCAGATGCAGGAATCTGCACGTTTGAGCTGTGCTCAACAGTATTATCTTACTACTATTTCTCTAAGCTCTATTCTGTCCAACAGCTAAAGGTCTCTGGACAGTTTATAACATTAGCTAAGCAGGACCATGATATAATAAAAGCCATTAAAAATTTTGGTACCACATTTTAAAATAGTTTTTAAAAACTCTGCCAACTAAAACAGGACTTAATGACAGACCTGTTAAAGCATCAGAAACCCCCATCAGCTGTTAGATAACTTAGAAAATTCAAGAATAGCTGCTTTTCCACTCAGCTTCTCCCCAAGCTGCTTTTCTGCCCTCAGGAGAAAAAGGTAGGCGCATCTCTTTGTCTTTTCACAAGCAAGTAGAAAGCCACCAGTGGGAGTGGGAGTGTGTGTGTGTGTGTGTGTGTGTGTGTGTTGGGGGTGGGGGGTGGGATCTGAACGCACAAGCCATCCAAGAGTGAGCAGCTCCTTCTCTCACTACTTTCATGGCTGCTTTCCATTTACAAAACTCCAAATAATGCTGTCAGATAATCTCCACTCTGGTTCTTACTGTGTGACTTTTCCAGGTAGCAAACATTTGTTTTGCAAAAGATAGTATCTTGTTCCAATGACTGGAATCAATTTAATAAGCTTATTTTGTTTTAATTGCTAAATCAGAATCATCTCATACTGCCAAACGCAATAGCCCTCCGGATGTTTTGTGAAGTAAAAGCAGTATGTTTTGACCTTTACATTTCAGGTTACAAAAACAGAATGTTTAAGCTAAGTAAACTCCTGAATAAGCTATATTTGTAGTGTGCCAGAAGCTGCCAAAGTCCGTTGAAGCCTTTTTGTACAGAAAGTTTGACACACCCAAATCCACGCAGCTCTTAAGGAGACTGCAACAACCTTTGTACATTAGCAATGTTATAGCATGGTTTTAAAGCTATTTATGAATGTTTCGAAAGCATGCAAATGCAAGTAGATAAAAAGGTACCCCTTCGGTGGGCAGGTAACAGCGTTCCGTGCGCTTCAGTGTTTAGTCATGTCGGCCACATGACCATGGAGATGGTCTGTGGACAAACATTGGCTCCCTCGGCTAGGAAACGGAGATGAGCACCGCCCCTAGAGTCAGGCATGACTGGACTTAATGTCAAGGGGAAACCTTTACCTTTATGAATGTTTGCTATTCTGCAATATAAAAGGATTTTATGCTGCTACCACATGATGTAGTCTGGACCACCAAAATGGATGAATTTAAGGGGGAATTAGACAAATTCAGGAAGGATAAATCTATCAATAGCTACTAGACCTGATAATTGTATTCACATTCCAGTACCAGTCAGTTTGTACACCGATTACACCCCAAGCTGTATCCTGCATGTCTTTCAGCTGA